GAGATGTTGGTACGATCTTGAAGGAAAAAAAAAAAAAAAAAAAAAAAAGAGTTCTAACAGCTGTGATCTTTCCTTTGCTGTGTACTGCTCAGTTTTTGAACTTTGACCAAGGTAGAAGCAGGGTGGAAATGGTTGTATGTACTGGACAGGAATGCATTCGGAAGGGATTTTGTCATATTTTTTACTACTTCGCTAATGTTTTTTGCTTGATTCTTTTCCTTCTCAGGTTTGTCTCACTGTCCCACTTCAAAACATTACAATGCAAAGATTGACCGACCAACTACAATGGTTGTACATGGTAACTTCCTCGCGCATTATTTCTATTGCCTTGCGTTTCAGATAGAAGTTCCTAAATGTTTGTACCATAATCCCTTCACCCCCTCACCCCCTCCTCTTCTGAAATTATTGAATAGTTAGGAGAGGGGAGGGGGTGGAGGGATTTTGGTACAAACATGCAAACGTTTTGGATTATATGTATGCTTTGTATATCAGTGGAATGTTGTGGCGGATGATGATTCTATACGTTAGGAAAGAGCAGTCACTACATTGAAAACTGGACTATAATCTTTGAAATAATTAATGGGTAATCTATTCCTTAAATTAATAATTGTACTTTAAAAAAATCTCCATATTTTAAGAATTAAAACTATTTTTTTCTTAATTTCAACAAGATATGTGAAAAATATATATTTAATTAGCAACTGTAATATTAGTTTATGAACATGATGGTAATATATTTATTTATTTATTTCAAAGATTGACTAGTGTATAAAGGAAGGTGGAGGGATTTAATTTTCAAATTTTAAAAATAAAAAAGTATATATAAAAATTGAAAATGTAATATAATTTACATGGAATAGAAGTTTTTTATTTTATTTTATTGCAATTGTTGAATTAAATATTTATACAAATTTTGGAGAGTAGAATGAAAAGATGTAAATTAACTAAATTTTCTGCTACAATAATATAAAAACGAATATAATTCAAATTGAAATAATTTTCAAGTTTTAAGATTTGTATAAATATTTTTAAATTTTAAGTTAATATATATATGTATATATATGGCTCTTTAAAAACTGGTTTTGTTATTTTTGAATCTCAGTAAAAGTTAGATGAAAATCCGAAAATAAATACAATTTTCCAAAATTAAAAATTAAATAATTAAATAATTATATCATCATTCTTCTTTTTACTTTTTTATTCTCTAAATTATATATAAAACATTTTTTAATAATTATTTTGAGATATTAAAATTTTAGAGGAAAAGTCGAGTAGAGTCTCGACATGGTTTGTAGGGATAGTAGTTACAAACATAGGGATAATATAAGGGTATTATTGTAATTTTAAAATAATACATCATCTTGGGAGACACTTTCCCACCAATTGAGATCAAGAAACGCCATACAGAAAGAAAAAGAAAGCTCTTCAACTTGGAGAATACCAGAAAAAGGTTGAGGACCTTGAAAGCTCTCCAAAGAACATCGGCGAGCAAAAGCATAACCGGACGGCGCCTGAAATTTCGCCATGGACGTGAAGTCGCAGCAAACATCATCATGTCCCATTGAGAAAGTAGTTGTTCATCCTCTGGTATTGCTCAGCATTGTCGACAACTTCAACCGAGTTGCCAAGGACACCAGTAAACGAGTTGTTGGAGTTCTACTCGGAAGTTCATTCAGAGGAATTGTTGATGTCACCAATAGTTATGCAGGTCTGTATTTCGTTTTCTTGGCAACTTGCTTTGGTTCTTGTTTTCGAGTTTCTTCGCTTGGATTTAGGAGGTTCTGGCTTGGTTTGGTTTCCGAGGAAATGTTAGAATGGTTGTACTCTGTATGGGAAACTAGGGCTCTGTTATTAGGAACTGCATTAATTTGGCTCTACTGATTGTTATCTGAAGTAGGATTCGGGATTTTATGTGAAATTGTGGTTTGCATTGAAGCAACTTTGATTTGTTGATGTTGTTGTTGCTGCTGCTTGTTATTAGGACTTGCATTACTGAACTTGAGTATTGCTTTTGCATGAAATGGAATTCTTCTCCTGTTATCGTTAACTAGATAAAACGCCATCGAGTTTGAAGTTGAAGAAGCACTTTTCTTGATAATTTTTCTTGGAATTTCTCTAAAGTGAATTTTCATTGATGGTTGAGATTGTTAAATTCAGGCTCAATCCTCTTGGCTGCAAGTGCTCTAATAGTTTGTCATTTTCGAATGTATTTGTAATTGAGTCTAATCCAGGTCTTCTAGTCATCTATATTTAGTTGTCGGGTTCAATTTTTGCTCGAGTTCATTTGTGTGCTAATTTGTTGAACGAGTTTAAACATTTCTTTTTTGAGAGAGATTTTCTAGATTTTGTTGAGAGTTATAGAACATTTACATCCGATTAGCCAGAGGTTCTTCAGAATTGTAGCACATTTCTAATACGCGAAGTGTCTGACTGTATTTAAATTATATATTCTCATCATTTCAGTGGCCTTTGAGGAGGATGATAAAGACTTTAGCATATGGTTTCTTGACCACAACTATCTTGAATCTATGTTTTCAATGTTCAAAAGAATAAATGGTCAGTGTTTATTTTTAATTAATATCTTTTAATTTTCTTACTTACCTGTGTTCAATTTGAAGTTCTAATTATCATCCTGTTAACTGTTTCAGCTAAGGAGCACATCATAGGCTGGTATAGTAGTGGTCCAACATTACAGGAAAATGATTTAGATATTCACCAATTGTTCCACAAGTAAGTAACACTTATCTGCATTTGGTTTGAATATTTTGAATAAAGTGATGTGCTTCTATCTTTACATGGGGAGCCATACTCAATATGAATTCTTGTAATTCAACATTGATCTATCGAGGATTGATAAAGGATGTGCATAATCGATGTTTGGTTTTCTTTTTTTAATTATTTTTTTTCTGCTACAGATATGTCCCGAATCCTGTTCTCGTAGTTATTGATCTGGAACCCGAGGATCTTGAGGTACCTACCAAGGCCTATTACGATGTTGAAGAAGTTCAGGAGGTATAGGCATGTCACTCAGTTGTGTATAGCATGAAAATTGGAGTAAAATGATTTGAAAGATGGACCACGATAGTAGGAAGACTATGAGAAGATGTAGTAAGGAACAATTGTACTCTTTTAAAGTGATACTAATGCCTCATATTTCACAGAATGCTACTCAGAAGAGCCAAAAGATTTTTGTGCATGTGCCTTCAGAAATTGGAGCACACGAGGTTGAGGAAATTGGTAATTCCCGTGGGACAGAAAATTGCATTTCTATTTATGGGGTATCTCATGTAAGAATTGAATTTTCTCACCCTGCTCATCAACAGGAGTTGCACACTTACTAAGAGATGTTAAAGACGCCACCATCAGCACGCTTGCTACTGAGGTCTGTCAGATTACTTCCATATTCATCTTTACACTTCACCTTTACTTCAAAGTGTGTGTGTGTGTGTGTATTGATGAAAAACTAAACTTTCATTGAGAAAAAATGAAAGATACCTAAAAGGTTTGGAACCCTTCCCCTATTATTTCTGCATTCAGTATATATCAAGTAATTGGGAGTGCCTTATGGCTCACAAAAAAAAAAAACTTCACGGAGAAATTGGAGTTGAATGAAGTTTCATTTTGCAGGTTTCTGGAAAGCTTACAGCCCTAAAAGGTTTGGATTCAAGTTTGCGAGAGATTCGCAGTTACCTTGACCTTGTTGTGGATGAAAAACTTCCTATAAATCATGAGATTCTATACTATTTACAGGTTCAATTTATGACATGTCCACTCTGCTTGCCGTCCCATTGTTTTTTTATGCATTCCCATATTGTATTTTTATTGAATACAGTACAAGATGTATTTTCTATGTTATAAGTTGGGAAGAAAGGTTAGAAGATAAGACATACTCCCCCTAGACATACCGGCATATTAAACAGAAAGTCTTAATTCCACTTACAACTACAGTATATCATGCCTCTATGTGAAAACTATCATCCTAAAGAGGCTTTAAAATATCACCCAGACTGAGGAAACAACTTCAATATTATGTCAGTAACCGATGAGACTTATTAAATTCTCTTCCAATGCCCTATTACGTTCCAACAACATCTGCTACTTACTAAGCTGAATGAGCCCATTGTTCTCGAACTTCTCTTATTCTGTGCTTTGATTGTTTTCATGCTTGTATGCATCCTGTTTGATATATTGAAATATGATTTAAAGTAGTTAAGATATGATTCAAAGTATTCAATTTAAAAGAGTTAGATATGACTCAGTAACAAGATTTTAGGAGATTGTTAGTAGATTTGAATTTATCTCGGATTTCCATAATTTACTATTTCTAGTTAGTGTATAAGCCTGTAAATATTGGAATTGCTTAACTCTTTAGGGAGAAAACAATAATAAAGAATTGCAGCTTGATCTATTCCTATATCTTTCAATATTCATTTTCCCAATAAATTTGGTTTCAGAGCAAGTTCTTATCAACAAAGTGAGTGATTATATTTTTTCACAGAACGAAAATGGTAGTACTTGATTTTTTTTCTTTGCACTGCTGTTTCCTATTCTTAATGGTGAGAAATATGAGTAGTGAAGCATCAAGATGAAGACCTTGCTCAGATCACAAGAGTTGTGGGACTTGGTGGAGCACGGGTTCGTTGATGTATTAGAACCCACAATAGAAGAAAAGGAGAGACTAAGAGAAACCAAGAAAAATGATGTCAACGCTCTATTCATTATTCAGCAAGCAATTCATGAGACTATTTTTTCACAAATTGTAGCAGCAACCATATCAAAGCAAGCATGGTCAATTTTACCGAAGGAGTTTCAAGGAGATTCAAAGGTCGTAACAATAAAATTGCAATCTCTAAGACGTGATTTTGAAACTCTGCTCATGACAAATGGCGAATCAATTGCTGACTTTTTGTCAAGAGAAATGGCAATCGTCAGTCAAATGCGTACCTATGGAGAGAAAATTTTAAATGAAACAATTGTTGCAAAGGTGTTGAGAAGTTTAACTCCAAAGTTTGACCATGTGGTGGCTACCATAGAAGAAGCTAAGGATCTATCAATACTCTTCGTTGATGAACTGATGGGCTCGCTTCAGGCTCATGAGTCAAGAATCAATGGATCATCAGATAGAAATGAAGAAAAGACACTACAAGTGAAAGAGACAGCCAACAACGAAGGCAATGAAAGAGAAAATATCCATTTAGCAGGTAGAAGTCGTGGAAGAGGAGAATTTCGCAGCTTCCACGGTGGTAGTGATAACAGGGATAGATGGTGGAGAAATGATGGACAAAGGCAGTTCAATGAACAAAGTAATATAAGGAAGGTCTTACAATGTTACCATTGCAATTGCAGAAAGTATGGGCACACAAAAGCTGATTGTTGGTATAGAGATCAACAAATGAATTTCACAGCAAAAAATGAAGAAGAAGAAGAAAAGCTTTTCATGACGTGTACTGGTATTAATCCAAAGAAAGGTGAATTATGGTTTGTTGATATCTGATGCTCGAACCATATGACAGGTTCCTAATCCTTATTCCAAGAGCTTGATGATACGCGAAGAATTAAGATGCAACTTGGAAATATAAAAGAAATGCATTCCATTGAGAAAGTCATGGTAGAAGAGATGCAGTCCATTGACAAAGCCATGGTAGAAGAGATGCAGTCCATGAGAAAGCCATGGTAGAAGAGATGCAGCCCATTGAGAAAGTCATGGTAGAAGAGATGCAGCCATTGAAAAAAATGGAACATGGGATATGGTTGACTTTCCCAATGAAAAGTTCTATGGAGATTTACATGGGACATGCAGCCCATTGCGGTGACCTGTTTATTAGTTTGATAGAGATTTACAAAAAGAGGTCTATGTAATGCACTAGAGGGATTCATAAAGAAAGACAAAGAAAAACAAAGAAACAAAGGTATACAAGTTGAGACAAACATTATACGGGTTAAAGCAGACATACTTACTAAAGTTTTGTCAAAAGAAAAATTCTGCTAATTCAAACGATGACATCTGCAACTTTGAATCAAGGGGGTGTTGAAATATGATTCAAAGTATAGTACCAAGATTTTAAGAGGTTGTTAGTAGATTTGAATTTATCTAGGGTCTTCATAATTTACTATTTCTGATATCGTATAAGCCTATAAATATTGAAATTGTGTAACTTTTAAGCATAGAGGGAGAAAACAATAATAAAAGTGCAGCTTTCATATATTCCTATCTCTTTCAATATCCCTTTCCCCAACATGTTAGGTATGTTTCTGATAGAATGATGAATCCACTTCCCCTTTGTTTGTCTGCCTGCAAATAGTTATGCCGAATCTGTTCAGTACATGTGGCTTGGAACAGCCCACATATATATGCTTTGAGGATTCTTAATACAGTGTATTTTCTTGTATCATTGACTACAGGATGTATTCAACCTGCTTCCTAATCTGAATGTGGCTGATTTGGTTAAAGCATTTTCAGGTAAAATAAATCGCAGCCTTTAAATATGCTAGTCATGGGATAGTTGTGTTTAGGTAGTTCATAACTTGATCTATATCAACCCCTTTATGCAGTAAAAACCAATGATATGTTGCTGGTCATGTATCTCTCTTCTTTGATCCGAAGTGTGATTGCACACCATAACTTGATTAGAAACAAGGTAACATCCTCTTTAATTTGGTACTTGCAATAGTAATATATTCACTGGAATCATGATCTGATGGTTATTATCTCTCATCAACAAATGTAAAGATGTTAAATAAAGAGCACGAGAAAGCAGAGGATGCAAAATCCGCTTGTGTTGCAGCTTCATCAGGAAAGTAAATCTTATGTTGGCTTGTCCTTGAGATTCTTAACTCCCAAAGGATCTCGAGTCGGTTGAAGATACGTATTATAACTGCGGTCGTAGCTTCTTTCTCAACAACTATGTTTCTCCTACATTGCACAAAGCAAGACTCTACAAAAGAATCAGGTGCTCTCAATATTTCTCATTCCTTCTTTGGTTATATGATGTACTTCAATTTTTCTCTATATTTCTCAAATCTTGAACCGCTGATCTTTGTTAGTCAGTGAACCATATCTTAGTCACTAGATTGTTACATCTTTTGTTTTGAGTGGTTTATAGATTTTGGAATCTTAAATACTTTGTTTTTTGGACAAATTTTCTATATTTTAGTATACTTCAACAAAATTTCATGATATATTTATAGCCTTCTGTCTCTTTTTCGCAATTTATGTTTCTTTTTCCCCCCCTTTAAGTAAATATTCTTCTTAGATAGAGTGTCAAAGAAGGATAACATGCAATGAAATCCTTTGCATGGAGTGGCCCCTCCAGACTGTGACAATGGAAATATTCTACTTTTGAAGGTTTTGTTTGTTAGAAGGCTTTTGAAAAAGTTGTTGATGCTCCTCTCATCTTTGAATTCAAAAGAAAAAGAGGCCATTTTTTCAATGAAGAAATTTAGCAAATGTTTTTGTTGTTTCTTATATAGACAACCATTTTGATTTTTAACTTCATTTTAGTTTATGTGAGTTTATGTGAGTGAGAGGAAAGATTTGGACGCTTGATAATATGATATCTACTTTATATCTCCTCAAAAAATTGTCAGTGCTCATGTGCTTATATAAGACAATTTATGCTCTTGAAAATAAATATCATCTAGTTTCTTTATTTTTTTTTTTTTTTTTTGAAATTTTCTTTAAAAAATATGATTATTTAGTAATCATTTCTTTGTTTTGCAATTCATTTTTTAAAAAATTAGACTTTTAGTTATTTATATTTTTAATTGGCTTGTGAATAAATAAAAAGAAAAGTAAATGGGCTCATGGTAGCTATATGTCGGATTTAGTATCTTATGAGAGCTCGTTTTGCAATAAACTTTAATAGAGTTAGACCGTTATTTTATAAGATTAGTTGAGTTGCCTTTTTCACAAGTTGTAATATTGTAGTTCACATCTTTCCTATTTGATTCGAAATTGTTATTGAGTATAAATTCATTAGAATTGTGGACGGATGGAAATGTTTATTTGAATCAAGTAGGAAGGAATAGAAAACTAAAAATTAAAAACAAAAATAGAAATGGAATATAAATGAAAGCCCTTAAATTTAATATGATGAGATGAGATACATTTATAAGGAGATGGAGAGTTGAATGGCTGTGATTTTGACACTTCAAATTCAATGAGTCTTAAGTGCTGAGGGGGAAGTTTCAGTGGGGTTTGGTTACAATGGGCCCCCAAGAAAGGTTCAACTCAAGCTACAATGGTGCTCCAATTTCCATATAAATTTAAGACATTTGCTTTTAATTATTGGATTTGCAGCTCCAAAAGGATGAGGAGATTTCTTTTGCATTTTATTTTATAATTATTGATGATACCCATTTAATGCTCTTTCCAACTAAGAATTCTTATTGGTTATTAATGGTATATGCAATTACTTTTCCTCAACTAGTATTCATTGTTTACGGAGACTATTGGAGTATCTAATTTTATTCGCTCTCCTATCTTTTATTTTTCGGTGTTAGTGTTGGTCCAACAGAGTGCTTTCGTCATTGGTATTTTTTCCGATCTCTGCACATTTCAATGCTCTATTGAAAATTTCTTATACCTCAACCATACTTTTAGCTTGGTACTTAACATTGGTTCATGTAATTGTAATTAGATTGGAATAACTTATGATTAGAGTAGTAGACTATTGGTATAATATGGTTATTAAAAAAAGAGAGATTATTAAATTTATTATTCTAAACAAATTACAACTTCAATCATGGATAGTTTTCAACTAGAAATTAAAATTGACCTAATTTTCCATGTCATCTCAATTATATAAAAATATCAATCCACTTTTGGTTCATTTTTTAAATACGGGTATATTTGTCCTTAGGCTTTCAAAATTAAATTATAATATCTCTTATTTAATTATTCATAAAAATGAACTTCTATTGATTTGACTTCTTATTAAATAGAATGTATTGCACATATTTTTAATTAATTTATGGACTAAGGTACAGCATTTCTTTAATAATTAATTAATTAATTAATTAATTAATAATAATAATAATGGTGGGTAACTTTTTTGAGTACGTAATGAGACAAATTAAAGTTTTGTTTGTCTGAAATAAAATGCCCAATTTGTCAAAACTTTTCTACTCCCACTTCTTCTCATTAAAATAAAAATAATAATTAAAATCCAATTATAAACCTAAAATTAATTAATCCATCCTTTTGCTCTTAAAAGGTTTTTTAGAATTGGGTTTATTTAATCTTCATATTATTAATTATGTATTTAATGAATTTCTACCCTTATTTTACTTATTCGTTCAATTACACGATTAATTTATTTGATTTTTATATTATTCTATCCTAGAGAATCATCCCTTTAAAATTCAAATCTTACAAACTTTTTAAAATATGACTTTTGGAAATTTAGGAATTCACCCAGAAGTTAAAAAATTTATAGAAAATACACACATGAAAAATAATAAATAACAATAAGGTAAGCAAACTAAAAATTAAAATTAAAATTAAAAAGAAAGAAAGAAAGAAAGAAAGAAAAGAAGCACATGGTAAAAACCAAGAAATTTACCTGAAGAATTACAGAAAATCAGTGGTAAAGGAAGGAAGCTGTGGGAATCAAGCAGCTGAAGAAGAAGAGGAATTGAAGAAGTGGATGCAATCTTTGACAGCTTCAGCTCTGTGAGATTCTTCCATGGAGTCCGACACCGAATGGGATCTGTTGAAGTTAGTAGCGGCGGAGGCCTTTTTTGAACACTCTGACCTCTTTTTCAATGACACATAGCGTAGAACTTTGGCCACTTTGGCGCCTACGCGGCGGAGGAAACTTTCCGGCGAGAATCTGCCGGATTTTGGCAGCCGGAAAACCCATAACACTGTGATCACCCTTTTCCTATTTCTTTGGAGACTTGTTGGCTTGGCGGTGGCTTGATCTGAGCTGAAACTCACTCCTCTGCTTGACCTTATTTTTGACATTTTTTTTCCCTCTTTTTTGAGAGAGACAGAGAAACCAAATATATAGAGTCAGGTTTTAGCTGTCTCTAACCATTCTGTCTCTCTCTCATTGAATTTTTTTTAAAAATATAAATTCATTTGTGTCGGGTGGGATCGACATCATTAAAACATTATTTTATGAACCAACACGGGTTAGCTCAATGATCAAAATGGTCTTGAAAAAAATAAGAGAGAACAAATTTAGTTCATGTTGGCTACCTACCTAAGATTAATTTAAAGTGCGATCAAATAATTCTTTTTTTACTTTAAGCCTCAAACTTTTTAGTCAAAAAAAAAAATCACATGCATACTTATTTTCTTTTTTAAAATAATGAATGTCATTTAATTATGAAAGTTGTAATTAAAAAAAAAATATATATATTCCTATGGGAATATAATTTTTGTAATTATATTTTTAAAAGAATAGTTTTTATAATTACTATTAAAAAATAAAAAAAAAAAAGCTGAAAATACTGCTAAAAAATGGAATTGGAGTCTTGTACAGAAGTGGGCCTCCCATTTTTTGATGGGCTCCAATTTCGAGCCCACTTTCAGTCTATTTGGGTTCTAACAAAAGAAGATGGGCTCCTTACGGATTATTAAAAAAAAAAAAAAAATCTTTGATTTATTAAGTTAAATGGATTATAAAATATAAAAAGACTTTTGCTCCCTTTTTCTATTATTTTTCATTTCTTCCCAAAATATAATATTCCAAAAAAATAACATTAAGTGGTTAGACATCTCGGAGTGTTGGCTAGTGCGTACGTTGGCATAACTTTGAGTTATCTTGAGGTTGAGAGGTCACCTCTCTCATCCCAATTTCTTTTTTTTTTCATTAAATAAAAAATGCGAGGTCTCCTTTTGAGCCTTTAATAGGCTTTGCTCGATATGAAGAATAAGGCTCATCGAAACGCTTTTGTCACTTTTTCAATTATTTTTCATTTCTTCTAAAAATATAACATTAGGTTGTTGGACATTTCAGGGTAGTGGTGCAATTGGCTAGCGCGTAGGTCTCATAGCTTCAAGTTATCCTGAGTTCGAGAGTTCGAATTTCTCTCACCCTAATTTCTTTTTTTTTCTTCATTAAATTAAAAATGTGAGGTCTCCTTTTGGGCCTTTAGTGGGCTCGGCTCGACATGAGGAATTAGGCCCATTGAAACCCTTTTGTTACTTTTTCTATTATTTTTCCTTTCTTCCAAAAATATAACATTAGGTAATTGGACATCCCGAGGTGGTGGTGTAATTGGCTAGTATGACGTTCAGAGTTCAAAGCCTCTCTTACTCCAATTTTCCTATTTTTTAATATAATTAATGGTATAATTATTTATATTAATTGAATGATTTAATTATGAGACCATTAAATCAAAATATATTATTATTATTATAGAGAAGTGCAAAAATTTTAAAGGAATAAATAAAATAAAATTGTTGCATAAATTTGAGTCTCTTTTTTTTTCTTTTTTCTTTTTTCTTTTTCAAATTATGACATTTATTAAATATAGGTTGAAAAATAAAAATTAAAAAAAAAAACCTTCCAAAGGATTCTGTGTTTGGGCCTTTATTAACACGGTCAGGCCCACAACATTTGACTGGCCACTGAACGTAGCCTGAGTCCATCTAAAGCCCATTCCTAATATATACAAAGAGGGGAGAATTCCTTAACTGAGAAACCAATGAATAACGTCAACGTATATTGTCTCCTGCTTAGACTGATAAATCCCATAAAAATTACTATATCCTCTATCGAAAGAGGAGAAATAAATCTGGAGATGCTGATAGTTCCCAAGGAGTTCCAGTTTCATAAAGAATTCTTAAAAGGGGGAATATTTATTATCGAACCTATTCGTCTGTCTATAGAAAATAATGGACAATTTATTATGTCTCAAACCATAGGTATTTCATTAGTTCATAAGAATAAGTACCAAATTAATCAAAGATATCAAGAAAAAGGCTATCCTTATAAGAAGAGTTTTGCTGAATCCATTGCAATACATCAAAAAACGAATGAAAATAGAACCAGCAATCATTATGATTTGCTTGTTCCGGAAAATATCTTATCCCCCTAGAGGTCGTAGAGAGTTCAGAATTCTAATTTGTTTCAATTCTGGGAATAGAAATGATATCCATAGAAATACAGGATTTTACAATGCAAATAAGGTAAAAACTCATGATCAAGTTTTAGATAAAAGAAGCAAACATCTTGATAGATATAAAAATAAACTAAATAAATTCAAGTTCTTTTTGTGGCCCAATTATCGATTAGAAGATTTAGCTTGTATGAATCGTTATTGGTTTGATACCAATAATAGCAGTCGTTTTAGTATGCTAAGGATCCATATGTATCCACAATTGAAAATTCGTTAATGCTACATTTTTCCTATATTGGCCGTACCTTATATGGTATATGAAGACAAAGAAATACACATATGGCACTGTCTTAGATTCTAGATTCTGATAGATTATATTAATTTAATTCAATGGCGTCTCTATTCGATTTAGAAATGAATCAATAAAATATTCTTATTTCATTTTTAATTGAAGTTTTAAGTATAAATATTTTTTGTGCGTGCAGAAATATACCAGCCTTTTGTATACCTATCTGAATCCAATTTTAAAAAATTGGATTGCAAAATTTTATTAAAAAAAAAGAATAGAAATTCGTAATCAAATTAAGATTATTGTGTATATCAAATTCAAATTAGTAACATTATTATTACTGATCAATAATAATTTATAAAACAATAAAAAAAGGAGGCTAAGGAGATTTCATTTTATGGTAAAAAATTCATTCAGCTCAGTTATTTCGCAAGAAGAAAAAAAAGAAAATGGAGGATCCGTTGAATTTCAAGTAGTCAGTTTCACCAATAAGATACGAAGACTTACTTCCCATTTGGAATTGCACAAAAAAGACTATTTATCTCAAAGAGGTCTACGTAAAATTCTCGGAAAACGCCAACGATTACTTTCTTATTTATCAAAGATAAATAAAATGCGTTATAAAGAATTAATTAATCAATTGGATATTCGGGAGTCAAAAACTCAGTAATTTTAAAAGTAATTTTTAATTATTTGATTTATTAGATCTTGAATTTTTATGAACTTATTTGCATTTTCAGCAATTCATGGAAAGCTGAATCGAGGAAAAACTTATGAATGGACCAGCTACAAGAAAAGACCTCATGATAGTCAATATGGGACCTCACCACCCATCAATGCACGGTGTTCTTCGACTCATCCTTACTTTGGATGGTGAAGATGTTATTGACTGTGAACCAATATTGGGTTATTTACACAGAGGGATGGAAAAAATTGCAGAAAACCGAACAATTATACAATATCTACCTTATGTAACACGTTGGGATTATTTAGCTACTATGTTTACAGAAGCAATAACTGTAAATGGTCCAGAACTGTTGGGAAATATTCAAGTACCTAAAAGAGCCAGCTATATCAGAGTAATTATGTTGGAATTGAGTCGTATAGCTTCTCATCTGTTATGGCTTGGCCCTTTTATGGCGGATATTGGCGCACAGACTCCCTTCTTCTATATTTTCAGAGAAAGAGAATTAGTATATGATCTATTCGAAGCAGCCACCGGTATGAGAATGATGCATAATTATTTTCGTATCGGGGGAGTCGCGGCTGATCTACCTCATGGATGGATAGATAAATGTTTGGATTTCTGCGATTATTTTTTGACAGCGGTTGCTGAATATCAAAAACTTATTACACAAAATCCTATTTTTTTAGAACGAGTTG